ATGTGTGGGAAACAGATTTTATTTGATAGGCAACAGGTTGGGAGTCGTTGACCTGATACAGGCACTCAGCTCTATCAGACTCATCAGCAATTAGACACCCTTGCCTGAGGTGATTGATCATTTCTGGTAGATAAGGGAGGAAGTGGTTTTCTTGGTGAATAGAAATTTGAATTTTATTTCTGACTAATGCTAAATTAGGCTTCTATTTACCCAATAACAATCTTTTTATTTACCCAATCAAAATCAGGATTCTGCTTTCTACCTAATGTGCAAAGCTTTTGTTTATGATAGGGTGCCAAGGTAATCCTCTGGCTTCTCCTTGCTGACTGGGAGCTTGAGATGGATCTGGTGGTGCGGAGTTTCACCTGCTGGTCTAAATCAGGCAACATTAGGAGACCTGAGGAAATTCCATCAGAAGCATTTGTTTTACTGTTATTTGGTTATTTCATTAATTTTCTCCTGAAGGAACCTGAAAAAGATGGATAAAATTGTTATGAGAAAGACAGAGCTCAGAGAGCCCATGAAAGTTAGGAGCTAGGACCTATGAGAAAATTTGAGAATCCTACATTGAAGTTAGCCCTTGGAGGTCATAGTTTGTAGACCAGATTGTATAAATATTTAATCCTCTTTCTACCTGACCAGACTGGTTCACATCATAGCAGTATTCTTCACTGAAGAAGAGGCCAATGCCATCTTTCTCACTGTTTAGCATCTTCAAAGCTTGCTGTTTTTCTAGGACACCAGGGTAGAAAGGAGATAAGCTTTTGAAGTAGTTACATGACTGAGATTGATTCCTGGATGATATCTGCCAGTTGGGAGGAAATCTGCATATGTNCCTGCGCATAGGAATAGTATAGCCTTGAAGAATGCGTGGGTACAGATGTGTAGGAAGGCTAGGTGAGGTTGATTTAATCCTAGGGTAACTATTATTTGTGAAAAGTATATCTGATAGTACAGAGGCCAACTCTACAACTTGGTCAGAGAAGAACAAGGCATCATCTTCTTGGTGGAATCCCATGGTGCTGAGAGATGAGATTTCCTTAACAAACCAAGAATTGTCAGGATGTAACAGTGTGGAAATAGAGAGCTGTGGATTTTATAGGAAAGGCTTTTAAGTGACTCTGTGCACTAATGGGTGGCTATAGTGGACTCAAGAAGGAGTGAAGCCAGGTTGGGAGAAGGGCAGATATCAAGTGAGATACTGGAATTTCATATCAAGAAAGTTGATATGAAATAGTTAAAACTTAGATGAGAACATGGTACTGAGAGCAACAAGGGTAGGAGATAGGCCTTGAAGAAGATTCTTAATGGTAGAATGATGGGAAGCAACTGAAGGAGAGGAAGTGTCCCATAATTTGGGGTCAACCAGGGTGTCTGGAAGAGGATAAGGTGAAACATTAGTGTCTGCTGGTTGACAAGGAGGTTCCTCAAAGGCCAGAAAGAAGGAGAAAATTCTAAAAGTAGTTAGACGAAAAGAAAAGGAAAAGTGTAATTTTAATATAGTAATAATAATAAATTATACATAAATAATAAAAAATAATTTAATAATAATATCCCTGTCTAAAAATAAGGAATGAGTAAGTGATCAGGTGGTCCCAGAGGGAAAAGAGGAGAAGACCTATAGTCTTGGAGTAATGGACCGGGCATCAACAGTTACTACAGGGATTAGAGAAGGGTGAGTTTTACTGGAGTAATTAAGAAGTATAGACCAAGCAACATCATCTTATCACAATACTATCAATATTGATGGTTTTATGGCTCAGTCTTTTCACATTATTAATGTTTCTATGAAATAAACAAATACCCTGATACAGATATACTATTTCTCCCTGAGGGAGTGGTGTTGCCATTTTGTGTAAATTGGAGACTGTATGAAATTTAACTCATTTTCCATTATTTGAAGAAATAATCTTTTTGAATGTTAATGATAATTTTTTTGTTTGGGAAGTAAGTATACTTTTTTTGTTGTAGGAAGGTAGTTTAAAAGATTCTTTGGCCAATTTTTTTTCTAAATAACCCTTACTATATATTTCATATTTCCCCCTCATTTTCTTTTCCTCATCTCCCATAAACACTAAATTATATAAAGATAACTTTAGAAAATGATGAGACAACAGAGAATTTAAAAAAAATCTATTGAGAAGAAATATGTCCTGATTGAACAGGGTATTTTCAGCTTGTTAACTAATTTCTGTTTCTTGCCTGAAATATGTGCATTCTCTGTTTTTTTTGTGCGAGTTATATGTGAACTTATGTACATGTGTGTATATATATGCATGTATAGTGTATGTATGTTATATATATTATATTTATGAAAACACATATAAGAATCATATGAATGTATGTACATATATCTAAAGTGCTGTTTTACATATAAGTTAAGCAATACTCATCATATCATAATACTTTCAATAAATGATTTTTAAAAGCTTAAAAAAAAAAAAAGAAGTATAGACCAAGTATTCCCCCAAACTGGTGAAAGTTACAGAAACTTACTCACTAGCTGGTCAGTTACTGTAGGCTCCTCCTTGTGGTTTTGTAAGAGGCTAACATCCCAGGACAGTGTCAATCATCTGTCACCAGACCTAGTAGTTCTGAAAAATATTCCTATGGAGAAGTGACCCATTTAGGGGAGGCACAGAAAATCAGTCAACCATCCAGTTCCTGCTTCTCTGCAACTTGGGCAGATTTCTAGCAGCTGACAAGATGAAGGGCAGTATTTTGGCCACTGTTGAGTGTTGCCATGCTTTTGAAGCAAGCTCATGGTGAAGCTGGGTGATATCCCCTCTTCTATGGAGGAGACATCAGGGTTGCAGCCAGAAGCTGCTATTTCTGTCGATACCAGGAAAGGATAGAGGTGACCTTCTCATTAAACATCTTAAATGCCATGGTTAGCAGATTTTTCTGAGAGGTTTCAGGGGCATTGTCTGGTAAGTTTGAACCTTAAAATGTATAACATTTGCATTTAAGATCCTTTAAAATCAAAATAAAATTTAAATACAGTACGCAGAGGATCAGAGAACCTTCTTTTCTTGATTCATTTATACTAAACCTTTAAAAAATTGTCACAATTTCTCATGTGACATAATTTTTCTAAATAACTAATACTTGACAAAGTTAGCAAAGATATAAACAATTTGACATATATCTTTAAGTCAGTTTCTGTTCGGCTGAATAGATCATGATAACCTTAAAAAAATTCAATCCTTACCCAAAATAACTTAGAAGCCTAGTGTTGCCTGCTTAGTCTAAGGAAAATAAAATAAAGCAAACCATCTTGGATGCCTAGTGTTGTTTCTTTAGTCTAATAAAGATAATCTATTTTCCCGAATGAGAGTTGAATCCAAGTTACATATAAGGTATGCCTAGCAAATAAAGATTATCTATAAAAGTTTTTAACTACTTATCCTTACAGTTACAATGCGACAAGTTTTACGCTGACTTTTTCACTGTATTTCTTGAAATTTTGCAGAATTTTAAATGACACACTCTATGGTTCTACAAATCCTGACATAAAGAAATTTAAATTTTGGTAAAAGCTTCCGCGATATCCATGACCATTAACAGGGGAAGAGTTTACAAAACAAAACCTAGAGAAATGGGGGTTGGTATTCAGAGAGCTGAAAACATTTCTGATTAAGTTTAGTCATTCAATTTTATACATAAATTTCCTTGACTATTTATATAGGGACAAATAATTTAATGATTTACAGTGAATGCATTGAAGTTTAAGTCTACTATGTAAAAATGAAAATTACAAACATTTGTATGCATTGAAGTCTAAGTCTACTAGGTAAAAATGAAAATTACAAGCATTTGTATGCATTGAAGTATAGCCTCAAGTTTTAGAAGCTTAACATAAACCAACTGTGTGAAAATCAGCATTTTGAGTACTCTAAAATAGTAATACTTGTAGGAAAAAAAAAAAACAAAAAACAAAAAACCTGAGAGAAGGATGAGTAAGAAAATGAAACAGGAATAACAATCCCCGGAAACCTTTTTGAGATAAGAATTTGCAGTAAGAAACAGAAACAAATCTGACCATTAATGAGACCCAGAATGCAAAAGCAGCTCAAAATGAAAAAAAAAAGTGACAACAACAATCTTCAACTCAAATGCCCATATCATAAATGCTTAATCCAGATGTTATGCCACCCACCCCGATTCAGAACGAAATGTGAAACAAATACCCACGAGAGTTATAGACTTCTAAAACCCTGGATAGGCAGTGTTAGGAAAGTATTATTCTGTCCACATAACATTCCTGTACTATGTCAAGGGAGAATTTACATAAAGTGTATTTTAAAATTATCAGCATAAGCTCAGACTTTCTTAGTGGATCTTGAAATGATTGGCTTTCCAACCTCCTGCTGTTCGGAGTTGGGCAGTGATTGTCTGGCTTTTCGGTTCTATTCTTGATGACAAAACTGAAAAATCTCTCAGTACCTCCTTCTGCAAACCATAGCGCTGCAAATACTTTAATTTCTGGGAAGACTTGTCAAAGAATAGTCGTCTGTAAAACCATATACAAGTAGAAATCCAGTCCATTCACAATGAGAATACAACATATAGGATAAGCTGCCAGGGTGAGCACACTTAGGGAGTATCTTCCCTACCTCTTTGCTTTGGCTGCTTCTGTATCAAGAGGAAGGTCTTCTCCCTCCTACTTCTCTATTTGCTGCTCTAGCCTTTATGTAGGATATGTTATAAATTGAGAAATCTCCCACTTTTGCCTACCCTCAGACCTAAACCGTTTATAAAATAATTAAATCTCCATGAGTTGAAAGCTAACCTGACTAACCAACCAAGACTATCTTGAAAAATAAAAAAAAAATATAAAGGATTGGAAGTAGGTGACCAGGCATGCACAAGTCTCTCTCTGACACACACAATGCCATAAAAAGACAAAGACAAGAGATCTAAACTGGGTTGAGGATAAGGCGTCTGGTTAGCATGTGTGAGTTTCTGCCATCCTTACCCAGTACTACACATAAAAGGGAGTGCTCTCTTCGCAGCACATATACTAAAATGGGAACAATACAGAGAAGATTAGCATGGCCCCTGCACAAGGATGACAAGTGAATTAATGAAGTGTTCCATATTTAAAACAAAAATAAAAATAAATATAAAAGGGTTAAAAAACAAAGAGGGAAAGAACAAAAAGGAAAAAGAATGGGGGAAGGGTTTAAATTCTTCCAGAACTATTTTAGAAATGCCTTGAAAGATTCAGCACAAAGTGCTTCTAAACTAATGAAATGACTCGACAATTTTCTAATATAGTAAGACCTACTAAGAAACTATGACACCAAAATAAGTTACAGAAAATAGAGGTATGAACAAATACACAGCCGATAAATAGCAAATGCGCACAAAAAAAGCAAGCACCATGAGCCTTCTGCAGATTTTGACACTAATACCCAATGTTCCCAATCTTGATTTCCTAACGCATACATGAAATTTTAAAAATAAATAAACACTAAGGAAGACCAAGAAAATATTAGAAATGGAAACACCTTTTATGAAAAAGAGAAATGCAGATATAACCTCCATTCATGATGTAACATTTAGATAGGTGCTCTAATACAGCAAAGCCAGAATAAATCATCTGATCATATTCTGTTTACCAAAGGATGCAAAAATTAATGATAGACCACTTACAGATTTCACAAGTAGTTCTGATGCCATCTCACTTATTAAATTTTGATAGATGCTGATAAAACTGAAAGACATGATCAATCAAAAGCCACAGGCCACTTGTAAAATGAAAACATCTTTGCAGTTCCCAGCGTGGAACCTCATGCCTCATGCATGGTTCATGAAGACTCTACCACTGAGTTATAGTTGCACCCTAAAGAGAACAAAAATATCTTAAAAGCAGTTTAGGCATCTAAATTAATTCCTAATTGTGCACCAATTGTTTTATTTCACAATTTAAAGGAAAAATATGAATGGCTCTACTCTACTTAGTCATAAAATATAAATGATCAAACATATCACAGTGGCTGGGTTCTCACACACCATTCATGTCCAACTGAAAATGTTCACGTGGTATGTTCACTGAACTGTAAAGAGGAAGAAACTGCCTATTAGATCTGTTTTCTTAGTAAACAAAATTGGTCTTATGAGATTATTGAAGAACGCTGAGTTTACGCTTCTGTTTACTCAATGGTAATTATTCTGTTTACCCATTCAGAGTCCTTCTATTTGAGACATTGTCATTAGCACTGGCAATTTTGGGACCCACTTTGGCCCTAACAGTGTTTGTGATAGAGATAGCAAACTCTACAACGATTTTCATTAGTGGGAATTAATGGTTTCAAGTAATTGTCAATATTCAATAAAGTGCACATACTGGATCGATTCTTTGAGTGCAGTAAGCCCTTGAAAACAGAATGTTCAGTAAATTTAGAAAACTTCAGCAAAAAAATTAAAAACCATTATGAATAATTTGAATGAGTATTAGCACCAACCTGTATTCAAATCTGCTCAGACACTAAAATCCTTTCTAAATATTTATATTTATATCTGTAGACTTTGTTTTTGTGCCAGCCTTCATCAAAGAAGTTGATTTGAGCTGTTGGCAACAATCACTATATAAATGCATACCTGGTCAAAGTGTTGAGAATAAAAGAATTGGTGCTAAGCCCCAAATAGGATATCTATTTAACTCTATCACCACCACCTGACTGAAAAAGACACAGGTCAACATGGGTTCACAGCAGAATTCTGTCAAACATTTAGTGAAGAACTACCACAAATGCTTTGTAAACTATTGCACAATAAAGGAATGGGAGGAACACTTCAAAAAACTTACTATGAGTTTTTTAAATACCAACCTCAGGTCTAGCATCACATCTGCCTGCATGCTGCATTCTCCCCATCATGATGATAATGGACTGAACCTCTGAAAGTTTAAGTGAGGCCACTTAAGTGACCTCATTTAAGTGAAATGTTTTCCTTTATAACAGTTGTTGTGATAATGGTGTCTTTTCACAACAATAGAAAACCCTAATAAAGTCAGAAGTCACAATATCTTTTACTGAAAATGAAATGGTTCTTCATAAGACACTCTAAAGAGTGCACAGGAAACTTTTGTAGACAGAGGTTTCTGTCCTTCCTGGTATCACAGCCATTAAGTCCCAAAGAAACACACAGAGGCCTATATTAATTATAAAATGTTTGGCTTATTAGCTCAGGCTTTTTATTAACTAATTCATTCAACTTAATCTAGTCCATTATTCTTGTCTCTGTTAGCCTTGTGTCTTGGTACCTTTTATCAGTGAGGCATTCCCCAATTGCTTTCTCTGCATCTGGATAATGACTACAGACTGAGCCTTTCCTCTTCCCAGAATTCTCCTATACTTGTCACCCCGCCTATACTTTCTGCCTAGCTACTGGCTAATCAACATTTTATTAAACCAATGCAAGTGACAAATCTTTACAGGGTACAAGAACATTGTCCCACAGTACTTTCTTCCCCTTTTGATTTTCAAACCAAGAACTCTGAATCTAATTCCCTTTGTTTAGCTTTTTTCCAGACCATTATCCATAACAACTTATAACCAACACTCTAAACAGAAATCAACATCCACAATTATTTTTTAGAGGAATACGGGCATAGTTGCCTAGGCTATTTCTTGCTGACTGGGGGCACTGATTATCTTATGGGGGCCTAAAGAAAATTTAGGATTATGGCCAAGTCCTGACTGGAATATTCTGTGAGATTTGATCATCTCAGTCAGCAGTTTTGAGGCTGTTCTGGGTATAGAACTCAGAGGAAATCCCAACAGAGGTTCTTTGAAATGTTAGATCATCTGGTCCATCTGCTCCTAATGATCAAGGGGTCTTCCTTGAACAATCCTGATTTTTCTTAACCCAAAATGAATCCACAGTCTTTCAATTCCTGTGAAAACCAAAGAAAAACTTCTTCTTCAAAATAACATATCTTTTGACTTAAATATTAAAGTCAAGGCACTTTCAATATATATATATATAGTATGAATCCAGCTGCATTTATAATCAAATGTGTTTTAGCAGCTGTTGTCTCTTTCTCAGTCATCAAACAATTCAAAGACACTGCAATAACATACAGTATACAGATTCTGATTGTATTTTCCATCTTTATGTGGCTTTACTTTAAACTCTATTACTTTTACTTTTTTATTTAAATTTTTTTTGAGATTGTATATTTCTGCCTGTCTTGGAACTAACTCTGTAGACCAAGCTGTCCTTGAACTCACAGACATCTGCCTGCTTCTGCCTCCCAAGTGCTGTGATTAAATGTTTCTGCCACCATACCCAACTACTCTCTTTCTGTTTTTTTTTTTTTTAAGGACTTTATCCTTTTTCTTTTCTCTTCCAAGCCTACATATACTTTTAAATACACTGTAAATCATTTAGAGGTTTTTTTTTTTTAACTGAACCTATCTTTACTATATATCTCTCTTTGTCTGACCACAAGAGTCTTTAATTTGTTAAGCAATATGACCAGGATTAAAGCTGTGGCTTTCAGGGCTGGATCCACCCCATTCCTTAGATTTCTGAGAGTCTAACTTTAAGGTGAAGGTACTGGTGCAAGCCATATTTATTGTCAGAAGTCTATGGAGTTTCAAGGTCCTTGACACCACAAAAAAGCACGTTGTTTGCTCCTTCTGCTCCTCATTGGGACATTGGGAGCTCAGTCCGGTACTCCAGTGTGGGTCTCTGTCTCTATCTCCATCCATCGCCAGATGAAGGTTCTATGGTGATATGCAAGATATTCATCAGTATGGCTATAGGATAGGGTCATTTCAGGTTCCCTATCCTCAGCTGCCCCAGGAACTAACTGGGGACATCGCCCTGGGCACCTGGGAGCCCCTCTAGGTCCAAGTCTCTTGCCAACC